ATTAATGGTATTGCTTTTATTATTGATCTTACAATTGCATTTGTTAATGATGCTAATGCTGTTACTGCTACTACTGCTGTTGTTATAGGTGCTTTGGTTTCCTGTTGATGCTCTGTTGATGCTGCTACTGCTGCTTTATTTGCTGCGAGATAAATTCGTTGCAGTGGACGGGGTCGCGTGCACGAACAACCGTAATACGTGCGTGCTGGAGCCCAATGATAGGCAGTGTAAGTGTGTGTATAGCTATAAAAAGGATATTGTGGTGCTGCTCTACCGAGCTCCGTTTAATTTCATTGAAACGCTTAGATACAATGATGGGATTTCGGCAACTTGCATTCTGATTTGTAGGCGCTTATTCTGAGAGTTATAGTAGGTAGTATCGTGCTCATACAAATTGCGTTGCAAACCCTCATATCCAGAACCAGAATTTGTATTAACGTGCTACACTTTAGTTAATTAAAGTGTAGCTGCATCATGATTATTTTATTGTGTACCACATTAACTTGATTTAACAAAAGTAGAACCTGTCTAAAGTAACATCGCTGGGACCGAGGTCGTAGTGTTACTTTACGGAGCTTATTACTTTAATTAAGGACAGAAAAGTGAAGGAAATTTTTCAAGTGGGAAAAATGGTGCAATCGGCTTTGTTTACATTTTATTTCTTGCTGCAGATGCCACCCCCAGTCTACATAAAAAAGGAGTCCCCCGCCATCCCCTCGAAAAAGAAAGTCCCACACCACCACCCCCGCAACTTTTCTCCTTCCCATATGCCTCCGAAAGGCGCACAATACACGACAATGACGGAAAAGGTCCGCATTTCTTTGTGTGAGCAGCAAGGTAATAATCCTCAGCTCAGCGAGAAGGAGCTCAATTAGTGGATATAACAGAGGCACAAGGTGAAAGTCAGGCATCCTACAATCTTAGGCCTTCTCAAGAGAAAAGCGACAATCTTATCGAAGGCTGATAACAGCAATCTTGACGCAAAATGTCAAAGGACTGTTAAGTATCCTCAGATGGAATCTGCTCTTGTGGCACTCGTCAAGAATCAACTCCCTGACATCCGGGAGACGCTGGACAAGTACGAGTGAAAAGATATCTACAACATGGATAAAACGGAACTATTCTACCGGATACAGGTTTGTTTTGGCAAGTGGGCTTGTTTGCAACATTGTGTGACACTTTGTGCTTACGTAAACTTATTTACAAGCAAATAGTTCGCTGGAAACCAAGCATCTGGAAGGCCGAAACGAAACAAAGAGCGTATCAACTTGGCTTGAGTGATGCAATGGCAATGGAAGTGACAAGCTGCCGCTCCTCGTAATGGGAAAGTAGAATATCAGCGTTGTTTTAAAAATATAAACTTTGACACCATCGGCTGCAAGTACCGAAACAACAGTAAAGCATAGATGACACAAGCCATCTTCAACGAGTGGTTGAAATCATTTGATGCTCGCATGGCCGGAGGTCAAGTTTTTCTAATCATGTATAACTGCAGTGCGCATATACCGCTTGCTCAACTTCCTACAGTTATCCAGTTGCGCAATAACGCGATTTTTTTTACCTTCCACCAAATACGACTTCGAAACTCCAGCCGTGCGACGCAGGTATAATCAGAAATTAAAGGCCTATTATCACAGGCGCTTCAATTGCTTGATCCTTCAGCGCTTCGAGCAAAATGTGGAAGATCCGGAGAGGATTGATGTTCTTCAGGCCATTTGGATGGCGGTTGCAGCTTGGAGATCAGATGTCAAGGCCGAAACTATTTCAGATTGCTTCCTTCATTGCAAGATTCGCTCGGTTGATTTGGGAACCCCTAAAGTTACTGCACAGCAGCTGGTCGACAATGAGGTCATCGAAGATCTTATATTGCAAAATCGTCAGTTGAGGTATTAGAACCCAATGGACATCAGAGTCCTTCTAAACTACCCTGCTGAGGAGGAGGTCGCCTACACATTCGATGAAGGTGAGATCATTGCTAAGCACCTTCGATCTGATCCAGTTGGAGGAACAGGAAGATGAAACGGAAGAGCTTTATCGTGTCATGTCATCTCAGACACTCGATGCAACGCGGACGCTTAGATACTTTTGGTTGCAGCAGCCAGACCTGAAACAGGACTTCCTTATGAGCCTTCAGCAAATGAACGACAAAGTTGGGAAGATTAGAACTAACTGACTGGTGCAGAAGCCCATCTTAGAATTCTTTGCCAAGGCCCATTAACTGCTTTGCACTCAATTTCACGGTTTTCAATATAGTGAATATTACTCAAAAAAAATTGGGACCAGCATTTGGCTATCAAGAATCAGTTTAGGGAGGTTAATTACATTTAACATGGGTCCCAAGTCGGGGCTAGAAAAGAATTGTACCTTGGGCAGGTTATTACATTGATAGGTATAACTTCCGACAGGTTCTACTGTAAGACGTGGGGTATTCTTTTATATTTTCCTGAATTACAATAGTATTATTACTTTTTATTATCTAGGCATTTTTTGCGATCCATTTTAGGCATTCTTCATTCTTCCTTTATTACGTATACAATGTTTTGTACGTTTAGATATATACGCTGATCGAATAAAATACTGGTTTGTTATTTCTTTTAAATAAATAATCTCATTGATATGTTGGAATGCTTACTAAATTCTCCTAAATCCTCTTTTTTCCACGAACATTGCTTAATGCAAAATTAATAGAATATACAACATCTGAACGACTGTAAAAAAATATGATAGTTGAAGCATTTATGAATTACGAGTAAAGTATGATAAATGTGCATTGACACGAATTTTAAGTAACCTTTTCGATAACAACTTACACACACAAATGCATAAATTTTTTCAAGTTTTCGTATTACATACATAAATAACAAAAGGAAATCTTTCTACAGCGTATGTAATAATGTTTCGACGTAAATTGTATTAATGGAGCATTTAATTATAATTGTAATCAAAATCTAGATTAAAAACATTATGGAATCGCGAAAAACACTACGAACATATTGTTACTAATATTAACATGTGGTGTTTTTATGCTCATTGCAGCTAATAGTTGAAGTAAATATGTACACCTCGCGTTCGTTCGTTTTCTTGGTTAAAACCGATCTGCAATTTGGACGTAAATTTGTAGTTGCATAAATCGTTGCCCAACAGTCTCCAATCAGGCATTTGATTCAACAAATAATTCTTCGTAATGCTTTTCCAAGCCCGTTGCGGCTTATAGTCAATGAAGAGATGTAGATCTCGACATCGTTTGTTCTCTCTGTTAAAAACGATCGACGGATCTTTTTGCAGACTGGAAATTGCATGCGGCGTAACGCCCACAACGTCTCTGTCGGGTGTAAACAAGGGTTTGTGCACCTTTTTACCTCTCCGCTATGTATGTCACACTGGACGCCATTATGAGCTATCCGAATGCATCTGGATAAATCAAACACCGCTAATTTTTGCAACACTCCACACATGCAGCTCACTCACTATGCAAATTAATCCTGTAGTCGACTCACTATCGCTCCTTTCCATACCAGCTCATGTTTACCACTTCTTACACCATCAGCGGACCCGAGGTCGCAAAACTTGATTTTGGACCAGCGTACGATGTTTTGCCGTCAAAACAGGCTGTTATCACCTTTTGTACGACTTATAAAGGCATCCGGTTATCGCAAGATGGGCACTTTCCTGCTTGCAGCTACGTGCCAATCGACACAACAAAATTCTAGAGTCATCGTTTACGTATTCAAGACGGAGCTCACCACAACGAATGGATAGCAAGTTGCTGTGCATGCGAATAAGTCCAACCGACACCATCTTCAGCGTATGCCGCTGTCTCGTTCTCGACTGCACTTAGCACGTCGCGACTCGTCGCATGAGGCAAAAGAGAAGTAGCGACGCAGTGTCGCATACTGAAACGTCACGAATCAGTAGTGACAGCATGTGCAGACGTCACCGATGTGTCACCCACCGAAGTAGTTTACATTGGTTCCATCCAAAATTGATATAGAGCTGAACATGTGCCCTGACACGGTTAAACTGTGAGTGTAGGAAGCAACGTGACAACGTCGTGGGCCTACGCTTTGCGTTCATCTGCTCACCGGATCCTGCACAACTACGATCTTACGATACTACATTTCTGTTGAAGATCGACGGTGTTGCATGAGCTTAGACTCTGCACAGAGAGCCAGTGAGTGCCGACGTATTGATACATGATGGGGAAAAAATGAAGCACCCCCTCTAGCAACTGTTGTTCATGGTGCTACTAATGGCAAGAGGCGACTGATGGAATGAGGCATAAGAGGGTTTTAGGTAACGTTCCGTTTCGAGTGCTGCAGGCTCAGTCGTCTAATTCATTTCTCAGTTTCCATTCTACCATCTACTGCGCAAGTTACCGCCGGAAAACAACAGTTTGTCATTCTACGCACGCGAGATCGTGCTCGTACCGCTTATCCAGCTTTGATCGGTCAGTACAAACCCCGAGACTGCATAAGTGAGGCGGACCGAGCCATTCAGTATAAAGCAAGCAAGTTGTCATAGAGTCGCGAGAAGACCACACGTCGCAGATAAAGCCGATGCGAAGATGATGGCTTGGGGCTGGCAATCATCGGATTGGCTAAAAAGCAGCACACACGTCGACGGCAAGAGCCGTTTGCATTACTGCAGACGAAGCAAAGCGCGACCTCATACCTGACCGAGTCAACGTCGACCACAGCGGCAGCACACACAAACGACAGCAACGACACGAAATATCCGAATGAATGCGCAGGACGTCACCAAAGATGTTGGAAGTGATATCGTACCGAGCGACTGTGAGGGAACTACCGCTGACGCTGTGGACGTAAGTGCACTTTTCTGCCTACAGAGTCGCTCTATTGCTTACGAATGGACTTATTTACCAATGGATTGTCTCGGTCTGTTTGTGCCTTTTCCAGTGCTGTATCTGTCAAGACCGAGTGGACGCCCAAACGCAGGGGCACTTGGCCCACTGTGCCCACCAGTTCCACTTTGAGTGCATCATGGCGTGGGCTCGCGTCACGAATCTCTGTCCTCTATGCAAGACCAAGTTCAATGTGGTCACGCGAAAGGATGCACAAGGCGTTGACGTGCATCGACAAGTGATTACCGATACGAAACAAGTGTATCGACCTGATCCAATGGACGATGACCTGGCGGCTCAATTGAGACTTGTGCACGAAGCTCGGTGTGAACTGTGCGGCTCTGGAGACGACGAGCACGTGCTGCTGCTCTGTGATTCCGTGGGCTGTGGCGTGGCGAACCACACGTATTGCATTGGGCTACGTGCAGTACCGACCACCTCGTGGTATTGCTCGAGACATGCTTCGACGCAACAGAGAGCTAGTGACGCGGTAGAGCGACCGGCAACGACGGTGACGACTCGTCGCCGGACGCGAAGATTGGCGAGCTTGATGTCGAATGTGCTTCGTGAACGCAGTGGATCGGTGTTGACGAGACCACGTCCACGCGCTGTATCTGGGTTTGATGAAGCGGAAGCAGAAGAAGAAGATCGTCGGCGGATGGGAGGGATTGCTGCAGCGTATGCTGTGAGGATGTCGAGAGAGCTGATGCAGGTGCAACAGCGGGCGGACGCGATGTTTGCGCGCGGTGATTTGACACAATCGTCGTTGTATGAGCAGAGACATCCTTCTGCGTCAAGCGATGCTCGATATGGGACGAGATCAACGGTAGCATCATCGGGGCCATCGACAACTGATCGGATGTGGGACGAAAATAGTCGAAGCAGACAAGAAATTGCAGCAGCAGCAATCGCAGCGCGTGATCATGGCTTGTTTGGTGCTACTGGCGGTAGCATGCGATCAGGCCAGCGATCTGACCAAGTGTCCGATTCATTTGCTCCGGAATATTGTGCACTTGCAAAGCTGATGGAGAGTGCTGTAAGCAGTGACAACTACGCGTCATCCGTAGCGTTGTTGATACCCAGAACTGCCAAGCTTGGACTAGTATCTCGTGTCAAAACCTTTTTTGGCCGGCTCAACCAGAAGGAAAAGGTCGCTGCAGTTGAGTTAGGCTGCATGTCAGTGTTGCATCAGTGGATACGTGTGCCCGCGCGGAGTGACGACACTTCGGTACCTTATTTCAACCCGCAGGTACTTGATGCGGTGCTAGCCATCTTGGAGACACTGCCTGTCCGAAGAGAAGATCTAGTAGAGGTACGTTTTCTCATGCAACATACTGGATGGTAGATGGGATTGTCTCATGAGAACAAATGTCTGCTAGGAGGAAGGGTTACAAGAAACGATGGACAGGCTCTCGGAGCTCTCGGATGTCAGCATTGAAACACGGCAGCGAATAATTGAGTTGGGCAATCGATGGCGCGAGCTGAATCCTCCAGTATCACGTGTATCCCCGCGGCCGCAAGTAAGGCAACGTGCTTCATCTCCTGTTCACGCGACGCACGAATTGCCTGTCATCACTTCATTCACCTCACGCCAGCAACCGGTTCCGCGGAACGGCAAGCGAAAGCGTAATGCGTACGTACATGTGCAGTTGACATTCGTGCACTCACATCTACTGACACGATGCTGCGGTGCTGACGCCAAATGTGAATTGTAGTTGGTCCGATACTGTCGTTCAGTACGTAAAAGCCAAGCTGTACCCACTTTACAAGCAGAACGATGGCGCTGGCAAGTTGACGCGGGAACGGTTCAAGGCAATTGTGAAAGACGTAGCTGGTCTATTTTCACAAGAGGCATCGTCGATGCAGTCTGCGGTGCTGCTACCTTCTGGCGAGCTATCCAATCTTGCGAAATTGCGCGTCAAGAAGCTGATTGACAGAGTGTACAAGGAATCCATCGGCAGAGCATCCACTCTTCACGCCACTGCTTCAACACCATTGCTAGCGACTGTACCTGGGCTTGCCTCAACGTACTCTGCAGTGCCATCTATCAAGCACCAACGTCGGATATAAAGCGCAGGGTTCACGAGACACTGAACGAAGCAAGGCTCAGCAGCGCACTGTGTTTTACGCTTGTTCCATAAGATAGAAAGGTAGCATACAAGCTCATGCTTATACACGCATCCGTCACACACGCGGCGCGTCGTGATTCACACTGCAAACACGTTCAAGCGCAATGTTTTACATTTCATGACACATATGTTCCTAGAGATGCGGACGAGTCTTCCTGCGAAACTCCAGCGTCATTCAACCTCTTCTTCTGCACCATCTGCTCGACAATCCACTCTGTCTTCATCTTCTGGGTCGTAAGCTTAGCCTGCTGCAATTGTTCTTGTGCTAACGCAAGGTGCACAGTGTGCAGCTCCCGTTGTCGTTCTTCACGTTTCGTTTCCAGCTCCAAACGTCGGCCCTCCATCTCGAGACGGGCTGCCTGCAGACTCAGCTTTCGTCTCAAGTACTCGGTCGACGTATCGTTGTCACTTGCTTGTGAAGCACTAGCAGTAGCAGTAGCAGTAGCAGCAGCACTTGTGTTCGGTCCAGTCCTCGCCCCCTCTGCAGCTGCCAACATTGTCACCTTATCACTCGCAGCCCTCTCCCCTGCTGCCGTCTCTTTTATCCTCTGTCGCTTTGGATGCCGAGCGCTATTGGCCGTCTCGACGCTGTGTTCACAAGCTGCAACTTCATTCGTAGCACCGGACGACGGATTCTGAGTCTGCAGACGAGACGTCGCTGGACTGGCCAGTGCACAAGGCGGAGGCGTTAGCGGAACAGTCGGCATCCCGCCCACCGTTGCAAAGACCTGCGCTGGCGGTGGCACCATTAGCTCTTCTCGACTGCTTGTACCATAGACCTGTTGCTGCTGTAATTGCTGCTGCTGCTGCTGTAACTGTAACTGTTGCTGTTCCTGTTGCTGTTGTTGCTGTTGTTGTTGTTGTTGTTGCTGCTGCTGTACATAGACACGATCGTGCTGCTGGTCTGCGGTCGTCGAAACGTACATAGTCGGGACTTCTGCCGTCGACGTCGGAACAAAGATGACCGGATCGTCGACTGTCTCTTGCCGATCAGTCGACGCGGGGATTGGTCCGCAAGTCTGAGTCGCGGTCTGAGTCTGATTCTGCGCTTCGTCGTGATGCAGGAGCACCCGCACAAACGCGTCTTTATTGCGTCGGCGCGGGTTCGTCTTGAGTTGCCGCTGCGTGATCTCGCGCTTGAGTTGCATGAGCGACCACTCTTTGTAGTCGTCCGAGTGCGGTGGGGCGCAGCGCTCGTCGCCTTTGGCCGACCACAGACGCGACACGCGGGCGCCGCCCCACGGAGCTGCAGCGTGCATAGCGGTGTAGAGACCGTGGCATGGCAGTAGGCTGTTGGACGGTGGCATCGTATGCGATTACACAGGGAGGCGGGCGTTTGGCTTGCGTCATCAGGGCCGCATGATTCGTAAATATCGAGATAAAATAAATATTCGAAGCAAAATCCAGAGAGGTGGGCTGCGTCGCTTGTGCAGTAGGTTGGGGTAGGGGGACTGAGCGACATACATTGATAGAGTGCTCGGATGCACCCAAGAGAAAACGAGACGTCGCTGCCCAAAGTAGCGGCTGCAAACGCTGGGCTCGACGTAAAAATAGAACCACAATGGGTTGCACAGTGAGACACGGATGGCACGGTCGTGCTTGAAGGTGGCAAAGACGTGCCGTGGATTTTTGCTTTCAATTTGTATTGTGTGAGACCACGACGCGCGAATGGGCTCTTTTGTCTTTCATGCGCTTTTGGCGGCTCCGTTGTTTCGGTGTTTTGGTGTACTTCTGCAAGTATAGTCTGTGATTTCGTCATCGCTGAAACGTTGCAATGTATAAAGCGTGAACGAATGATATTCGCGCTGCGATGCAAATGAACGCATGGTTCGGAGTGCAAATCGAGTTGTATCGCAGTAACTCGCAGGTGGTGGACAGCACAGATTGGACTGTGGGTGGCCGGACCGCAAGCGTTCCTTGCTGTGCCGCTGATAGCTCGTCCAGCGACGTGCAGTGTTGTTCTGCAAGTCAAAGACGTACGCATTGCGGTGCGAATCGTGGATCGTGTGTCGCTATCGTTAACACGAAGGACGGCACCAACATATCGTCAATGAAGAGCCATCACAAATCTATCGAGTCCATTTTGGCAGCTTCTCAAACACGCATGGCATTGGCTTGGTTGAACTTCGATACCAAAGCCACACATGTGGTGAAGGTGTTGAGTGCTTGTCGTCGCGTTCACCGCAGTGGACTGAATCTGCAAATTTGTTGTGCGCCAAGACTGCGGATGTGAAAACATCTACGTCACTTTTTAGGATACCGACATGCAGACTGAAGCATTGCAAACGCAGCCAGGGTCACGTATATGACTGTGTCGCTTGATGGTTCGTCGTCGACAACAGAGCTTGTATTGACCGTCTCACAGCAACATGTAGACTTTCGGGTATGCAACTCGGTACGCTTCGGAACGTTCATGCGGCGTACCAGTGAGATCTCCAGTCAATTGCGCAAAAGAGATATGTGAAGATACATCGAATTAAATGTGTACCGGCAGGGACTCACTGCCAAATACTGGCTGCCTCTGTCGATGAAATGGCAAATGGATTCGCGCAGCGGCCTTGCGGCAATGTAGTGCGGTGAACGCTCGGTCAGAGAGCGGAGCGAAGAAATTTGGTACTACGCGAGGCGCAGGGCTTTTGCACCAAGTTGGCAAGCAGTTCCAAGAGAAGATCACAGCTATGCCGATATCATGCCGTAATCGTTCGAACGCTTTCCAAAGCTTTGTCCATGGTCTGTGCGCGAGGTCCAGTAGTATCACGGTATCGTCCGTGACACTAACGGACCTCGCGCACAGACGATGGACAAAGTTCCAGAAAGCTTTGCCAGCGAGATCATGGTGACTCTCGCGAAAGGTACAAGAAACTGTTTGGATGCTACCCGAGTTCACCTATCCTTTTCGTATTAACGGAATGAACTGTCACTAAAAACATGGCAGCAGCGTCTATTATGCTGACTGTACGAATAACGGACACGTCTTACACGAGGGTCTCCATGGATAGCGTTTCACCCGCAAGAAATTTGTTGATCGCAATAGTGCACTCGGAATGCTTCTCGTGTTGCAGAATATGGCCGCAGTCGTCGAAAAGCAGCACTTGGCTTTGCACGTCTGGCGTGAGTTTGCTCTTGAGCACGTCCACGGATGAGACGTCCAGCACATGGTCGTGCTTCCCCCACATGATCAGCGTCCTAGCCCGAATGTTTGGCAACAGAGCTTCCAACACGGTCGGGTCCTGCAGCGAGTCGCCGACGATTTTCTCCAAGACTGGCAGCTGTTTCTTCCGTTCCGAAGCAATGAGTTTCAATAGGATGTGAGGGATCTTACGAGGCTCGTAGCTAAGATGTTGATTCATCTCGTCCATGTCCTCAGGAGTATGTGCGAGCAAGAGGTTGCGTCCCGAGTTCTCGAGCATGTCCAATAGCGTGCTCTTCTTTGGCATAGAAATGCCAGCTGGGCACACCATTGTCAGGGACTTGACTCGGTCAGGGTACAGTGCCGCGTAGACTCCAGCAAGCATACCTCCCATCGAACACCCCACGAGATGGATCTTTTTGTCAGTAGACACTTGCTTGTCCAAGAACTCGTGCAGCCTCTTGGCCTGGTGAGGCATCGAGTAGTTGGTCAGTGCGTCAATGGGCGTCGTGCGGCCTTGACCCGGCAGATCTGGGATAACGATCTTGTAGCGTTTGTCAATGCCACGGGCGACTCGAACCCACGACTCTTTCACGGAACTGAACCCATGGAGGAACACGACAACGTCCGTGTGTGCCTCGTCTTTACCAGGTCGCTCAATGTAGCTCCAATTGTACTCGTCAATGCTCGCGTTCTTGGCGGAGAAGCCAGAGACGAAGCGAACGACGTCAAACACCGACATGAGGAGAGCAGCCATGATGGTATGTCGTGGCGGAATGTCAAATGGGGAGCTGATACTGCATTGAACTCGATTATGGACGCTCGCTATGGTGGTGCTGTCGCATATGCAGTTGCGCGATGATTAGTAGGTGGATATGCGGGTTACGTACGTAATCATCGACAGCCACACTCGCTTCGCTCGATCAACGACGGACCAAAGACAGGACGTTGGTATATTTGGTGCGCTCTTTTTTGGCACGGACGACATACTGCACATGCTGCGGTCTGCACGATATAATCGGTGTCAAGCGTGTAGTATCTTCGACCGTAGACTCAGGTCGATGTTCGCGTCGCTCTACGTACTACGCTAGAGCAGAACGAGACGATCGATGCCGTATCTAGTAGTCATATCGACGAGTTTTCGAGGATGATAGTACAATAGCTAGTGAGCGCTGGGCGTGTTTTCGAGTACTCGCCCAGTACAGCATGCGCGCTTTCACCAATGTACCGTATCGATTCCTTTGTGCTTCCTGCTACCACTACGCAAGTTGAGGGCATCATGATTGCTAGCATGTCTACTTGCGTAGCGTCCAGTATGCATGTGTCCATTGTCCATTATCAGGCTATGACCAGCACCTGACGACGTGCGCTGCACGGATGCGCTACACTGGCCATTGGGCGTCGCTCGATGGCACGATGAACCGATGGGGTGCAGGCGTGGGGAAGGCCGTGCACATGTCGTTCGTACGTCATGTTATAGAGGACAATACGAAGCAAATGACGAAGAGGCGAACCGATTCGTGCGGGTACCACATGTCGCTGACGCATCGCATCGCGTGCCTCTGAATTTTTCAACGGATGCCATGGTAAATCACGAAACAGTCTGAGGTCGAATGTCTCTACGTCAGACGTTCGTGCTGACGTGTAGTACTGCTGCATACCTGCGCTCACAGGCAACTTTCTGGTAAGATGAGCTACGCCTGAAACGCTTTGTGGTAAGATGCGCCCGATAAGCTGCCGTGTTGTAAACCGTTTTCCTCTGCAGATCGTTGACAATTTATGCTGAATGAGGTCGAAATTCGCCGAGCGACTGATCGGAGCGACCGCACTTATACACGGTCTGCTATGCGGGTTTGCTTGTTGCGCATGTTGCGTCAGGCTGTACTAGTCTCAACACCGTAGCGGCGACTAATTCGCGTTGTCGAGTACGCGTAACTTTACTAAGACCTCTTACGATTCGCAAGCGTACTGGTCCATCCGCATGGTACGATCTTTTGGTGGTATTGCATCGTGCAAAGCTGTCTTGGCGACTACGGCGAAAGTGCAGCTGACGTCCCTGCGTAGCGACATTTCGTAGTAAAGGGAAACTCGCTCGTGTCGATGTGAACGGATTGTATAGGGGCATGTCCACTGCAGCTCACGTCAGGAGTTGCACGGCACCGTCGACATCCCCCTACATCCATCGCATGCTCTCTTACTGTAGTACCGAGCGAGCGGATCCGCAATTTGGGTTCGGGACCACTCGCCGGCAGTGCAGTGGGCTCCTTTCAATGATCAACGGGTTGTGACATTACCGCCGCATTGTTGCAGCGATGCTATCGCTCACCGCTGTGTCATGCAATCCCAGTCGAGCAGTTTCCCTGACGAAGATCCGCCGCCAGCAGCAGATGACCAGTTGTTTCGGTGTCGTATGCGCTCGCCACGTGCTATAAGTCAGCAGCGGACTTGACAGCACGTAGGGCTCTACGCCACCACAAAAAGCTGCACGAAAGGTCTGCGTGGCAGGACTTTCACTCATGGCAACCGAGCGCAATGAATTGGGCGCACACTTTGCATGAGCCCGTGTCAAAAGGTGCCTAGACGCCATGTATCCAACCGACTCGGCCCGCACTAAATGCTGGCAACACTGGCGAGCAGGAAAAAAGAGCATTTGGTCTGAACGAGTCGACCAAACACTTCGTCAACTTCTCACTAGCACGCGATCGGCCATTACTTATGCCGTTTGTATTCAGCCGACGATCAGGCGACTCACTGCCTCTGCGTCTGCTATCTTCACGCGACCACGTTGGACCAGCACAACTTGTCCCGACGTTGTGCTCGTCGAAGGTACAAGAAAGTCCGGCGTGGCCAATGCACAGGCCAAAGCGGTGTCGCGCCAGTCTGCAATCACAGTGTGTTGGGCAACACGGACGGTCTCAAGTCGCTGCCATTCTCCGCGACACGTCTCGCTTCGCGACCACGAGCGTCGAGCAGGTCTTCACCTTACGTCAGACCGCCCATTGTCAACTTGGCACCACATGTCCCTTGTCTACGCCATGGGCTTCTCTCGCGTGCTCAGTGCCTTTCGTTTTTCCACGACAAACCTCGTGCGAGTTGGTAAGCGGTTTGAGGCGCGGTCAGCGACCATCGACCAGTTCCAATGGAGCTACTTGATCCGACCCGCGGCCGACCCAACGAGTCGAGAAGTCGTTGTGTTCTTGCATGGACTCGGGTCTTCGAAAGAGGCCTGGGTCCGTGTGTCCAGCGGCCTTAGCAGTGACTACCACGTGGTGATCCCCGACTTGCCTGGTCATGGCAAGACGACGCCGCTCGACCCGCTCGTGAACTTTGCAGCAGACCGACAAACGCGGCGACTGCACGGAGTTCTTCGAGTCGGAGCTCTATCCGAACAACAAAGTGCACCTTGTCGGCACTTGCATCGGTGCAACGGTTGCAGGGCTCTACGCTGCAATGCACCCGACGCGGGTCAAGTCGCTCGCGCTCATGTGTCCGTGGGGCATTGCAGTCCCCACGGCGACAAGCGCCACACTCAGCGACATGGAACTTCTGGACAAACTCACGTTGCAAAGCCCAACAGCTACTTCCGCCAGCGAAGTGGGCGAGTGGCGCGACCCCACAGTGAACGTGAAGCACATGCTCCGTGCACTTCGAGCGCTTACGACATACAAACGCGGCCGCGAGTGGCAAGTGCTGCAAAAAGTCGGCATGGATACACTTGCGCACCCGTCGATACTCGAAGACAGCCTTGGCAGTATTCGAGCGAGGACGATAGTGGTCTGGGGCAAAGAGGACGCAGTTCTAGACGCTGCGTGTCTCGAGGTGATTGACGACAAGCTGAACGTGACGCACAAACACGTGCTGGCGCTCGAAGACTGTGGACATCTCATCACCAGTGATAAGCCGAGCGAGTGCATCGATCTGCTCAACCGGTTTCTTGGGAACTTGCAACTTAGCTGTTCACCTGCTCTTGCTGAGCAAGCGTCTGCCATGGCTTTTGAGCCCCTTTTGCCATCGCAGGACTAGCTGGTGGTGTATTTATTACTTGTAAGCTGCGTGGGTCAACGAAGCGAAGACGTTTTGCGGCAGACGTAGCACGATCTGCGTGTCAATAACAATGCGTTCGTTCGTGCGGTTCACATGTTTCTTCTGACTTTGCTGCGAGCTTCATAGGTCGAGGGTCGTTGTTGCGTTTGGACGTTGCGCTATGTTCGCATTGCAGTAGAACGTTTTCAGTGATCCGTTCCTCGCTTGAGCACGTACAACGACATGTGTGTGTGCTCAGGCCATCGAAGAGAAGTGAGGACACTGCTGCGTCATAGAATGCACGGAGACGTAGAGTTCCGGTGGCTATTGGCGCACTCGATTTCACCGGAAAAGTGTATCATCGGCACATGCATTGGGAATGCATTTATACATCGACGATAGTATCATCACGTGGCACGTTTCGAGGAGCTGCAGCTCGACGAAGGATGGCCAGTGGTTTGTTCAAATGACCAGGTACCACACATTGGATGACACAGCGATGTGAAGCGAGTGCACTGCGAAGCACTGAGTCGATCCCTTTTGTCCCACTAGCGCCAGACATAGATAGTCAAGCAGACACGTGATCGACTCACGCACGTTGTAAAGAAGTCGCTACGTCCGCGAAATGCTATGGTGTCACTCAGACGAATAGTCGCAGCTCTTTGGGCATCACGAAAAGTGTATCTCGAGTAGCACGTCGATGCAGATCTCTTGCAGCGCGACCAACCCAACTTGAATCCGGCCATTCGATCGTGGCAGTCCTAGAAACATACTGCCTGACCACAGGCGATAGCAACGACAAAACAATCGAAGACGAGATCGGCTCAACGTCTGTCCTTGATCGAGCGACCATTCTGGATCGACAACTACCTCAATGTTGTCGACTACCGGAACTTGAAAGCAGATGCGCTCCCACTGCGAGCTTTCTACCGACAACCCACCGACCGACCACCAACCCACCTGCAACGCACCGTTTGTCTCCACGATCGCCTCGAAAACCATTGCAGACTCCGTCTCGACGTTGCACTAAGTGCCGTGGGATCTTTCTACCAAACCCTTTACCAGCACATCGACTTTTCGCGAGTCAAATCAGAGTCCTCCCCGCTCGCTCGATCTTTCGGAACTCGGATCTTGATTACGCACAGACTCACGGACTCGCGCCGCGCCCCTTCGACCGCTTGTCGCCGCCAATGAAACCGTGCGAAGCGGTCATTCCCGAAAAGACGTCTGCTCGAGGAGCCGCTCGTTCGTTCATTCCCCAACTTGCGGTCTCGAGCCCAAGGGCCCAACTCGAACCGTTTTGCAAAATCCCTCAACCGGTCGGGTTGAAGTCGTAACATGGCCACCCGTAGCCACTTCGTAGTCGGTCCATTGCATTCCAATGCCCTCCTCATTGCTGTCCTCGTGCTGCTCGTCGCTGTGCTCTTCGCCCCCGCTGCGCCTACCGGTCGCGACGGCTGCCACTGCCAACGGACCATGAAAGGCCGCGAGCATTTGCACCCGTCGGTCCGTGCGCTGCCCGCGCTGTCGCTCGCGGAGACGCGCGAGCTGCAGCAGCTGCCCACGCACTTGGACTGGTGCGAACGCGGCTTCTGCGTCCCGAGTTGGAACCAGCACGTGCCACAGTACTGCGGTTCGTGCTACGCCCACGGCGCCCTGTCGAGCGCGCAGGACCGGATCAAGATCCTCAATGCTCGTCGGAGAAAGTTCACGGGCGCCGACGTGATGCTCGGGCGCCAGAGCTTTCTCAATTGTGCCCCGGGACACGGCCTCTCGGCGGGCTGCGACGGCGGCGAAGCGCAGGACGTGTACGAGTTCATGCGTCGCTATGGCCTGCCGGACGAGTCGTGTTTGCCCTATAATGCAACAGACCATACCAAGTTTACGGCCACTGTGAACAACACGTGCCCACCAGTTGGCTACTGCATGAAGTACGTGGAAAAGAGATTGGGGGGACGAGGAGGGACACCTTTGCAAGGAGGTCCGATGGAGAAGGAGACTGACTGACTGACTGTTGTTGTTGTTGTTGTTGTTGCGGATGTTGTTGTGACTGACTTACCGCGCAGTTGTATGTACACGCCAACGAGTCGCAAGACGCCTCAGTGTTTCCCCGTGACCAAAGTGGTGCGGTACCGTGCCAAGAGCCACGGCCACTTGTCGGGGGAGCTGGCCATGATGAAGGAGATCATGACGGGCGGGCCCATTACTTGCGGCATTTCGTGCAGTCACGAGTTTAATTACGAGTACAGGGCTGGTATTTTGGAGGACACGACGGGGTTCATGGACTTGGACCACGACGTGGAAGTCGTCGGCTGGGGCGAAGAAAACGGCACCAAGTACTGGCACGTGCGCAACTCGTGGGGAACGTACTGGGGCATGAACGGGTTCTTTAAGATCGTGCGGGGGAAGAACAATCTCGGGATCGAAGCCGACTGTGCTTTCATGCAACCGGACATTAGCGACGAAGAGCTCGTGTGGGAAGAGAAGCCCATCTACGGAGGCTCGATCTTTGGGATCGTGCCGTTCAAAGAGGAAGCAAAGGACCACGTGATCAAGGACACGACCGAGGACATCCCGCGCATTGGGGATGCTGTGCTGAAAGCTCATTATCTACCGGAGGACGCGACACCGTTCACGAGTGAGTCCAAGGCGCGCGAAGACACCGACTCGTTCGTTGTGCCTGCGATCCTGTTCTTCACGTCTGGCTGCGTCTGTGCGACACTCGCTGCGGTGTCCATTATGAAGTTTCGCGGTCACCGTTACGTGTACCGAACGATCCCATAGAGGGCAGCAGTTCACGACCACGTTGACGTCGAGGACCTTCGCCAAACTTGGTGCACGACTTGTGGGGCTCTTGGTACTGCCAACATCCATGGACTTTCGCAAGCGTCGGGCACAAGAAGCTCGAAATGAGAGGCAAAGTAGAGACTGTCGTTGCCATGCAAAAGAGTGTAAACCCACAAAGTGGTGGTATGCGTGGCACAAAGATGTGCGTGTGAGACCATTCGGCATATTCGTATAGTAAAGCAGATAGTGCCATGATAGTCAGTTAGTGACGACGAGGCCTGATGCGTGAAAACAACATCATCAACGCCGCCATCAGCTCCAGCGATGCCATACACTGCAACAATCGACACCTCGGCACAAACTGCACCCTCTTCGTTTTCTAGCTGCCCACACGTGGAGATCGTCATTGTTCAGCAAGCAGTTAGGTCGCTTGCAATAGTACATACCCCACATACCTTCACACACACGTGATCGCATCTACAGCGTAACGCTGTATTTGCGTATCTACAAGTGCGTCTGACATGTTGCAGTACCCGCTTGTCGTTTGTTCCAGCGTAAGGGCCACACGTGCCGGTCAAAAGGACTGGTACTTGGCACAGGCAGCTCATAGTCCATGTCTGACTGGTTCAACCCTTCCATTCTACAGCGCTACGTGTGACTTTGTCCATTGAGAGAGGGACCTTATGCGTCTTGAAGGACACGTTAAGGACGTTGCCATTCTCGACACCAACGAAACGTGTGCACATACGCACATGCGCACATGCGCTCTGCCGCGCGCCGTGCACCGGGTCGCACGCCAGTCGAAAGCGCGTACGCGCGTAGTTAGTGCCCCACCGCTTTTGTCTGCAGACCAATCGGCTGCTGCTTACGACTCTCATGCGCGCGACTACTGAACCCACACACGCGCGCCAATCGCAGAAACATCTGCCCGTTGACGACACTTCGTATCGTTACTTTTCCCGTTCACCTGCTACTCCATATCCCTACTTTTCCGGCCATCTCGCGTCAGTAGCTGTCATCGCACAGTACTTCTCGACGAGCTCACTTACTCTCTCTCTCTCTCTCTCGCTACTTCTACTTCTCTACTTATCTCTCTCTCTCTCTACTTCTCTGCCCTCACGTGCACCCCATTCTCGCCATGGACAAGTACCAGCGCGTCGAAAAGCCTCGTCGCGACGACCACACGACGCAGGTCGAACCTAACGAGATCCGCATCACGCAACAAGGCAAAGTGCGCAGCTACATCTCTTATGGCCACGGACTGTTTACTGTACGTAGCTGCTCGTCTCTAATTGGTCGTTACAATCGCATCTGCGGCACGTTTGGTCGGATCCTCTTTTTTACGACATTACGAACGCTTTGTTTCGCTTCGGTTTGCGTTCGATTTGTCACGTGGGATTGACATTCGTGTGGGACTCTGTGTCTGGAACTCTCTCTGACTGCTGTTGCTGTTTGTAGGAGAAAAATGAGCGCTGTATCGTGTTGAAAGCCATGGGCAATGCCATCAGCAAAGCAGTGACAGTGGCGGAGATTCTGAAGCACCGCGTGGCGAGTCTCCACATGGTGACGCGCATTTCGTCGATTGAGACTGTTGACGTGTACGATCCACTGGAAGAAGGACTTGATCGCATTGAGACCAAGCGCAAGATCCCGAGTATCTCGATTCACTTGTCGCTAGATGCGCTGGACCGAGACGAGCCAGGGTACCAAAGTCCGATCCCAGCCGACCAAGTGTCGACGGGCTCGCCGTCGTATTCGAACTCCCGGGAGTACCGAAAGGCACGTGGACAGAGCCGACGCTCGGGCCGCAGCGGTGGACGTGGCAATGGACGTGGACGTGGTGGTGGTGGTGGTGGTGATGTTGGTGACGGTGAAGCGAATGCTACTGTCGTTGAGATAGCGGAGACTCAGGAAAAGGTGGAGCAGGAGACGGGTGGAGACGATGCAGTTGCGGAGAGTACGCCGACGATCCGTGGCAAACGAGGTAAAGGACGGGGATGGGATCGAAGTGGTAGCAATGGAGGACGTGGTCGAAAGTCTGGCGATCAAAGTCCGACGAACGGAGGCGATGGCCATGCGGAATCGAGTAGTGCTGTGGAGAACGAAGCAGTTGCTTCGACGCCGACGGGCCGAAAGCCTGGACGGGGTCGAAAAGGAAAGAAGACGTCGAGTAGTGGGGATCAAGAGAAGCAGAATGGCGACGGCGAAGGAGACGACGAAACCGGCGAGACTGTGCACGCAAATCACCGCGGTGGGAGAGGACGACATTCCGGTCGTGGACGTAATCGTGGTCGCGGACGCGGCCGCGGGCTTAGCGAGAGCACGCGATGTGATGATGGAAATGGCGGATCGCTGGATACTGCGGACGTGAATACTGCGCCGGACAACCCACCGGCCAGTGAGTGAGTGCAGAGTCTCCTGACGTCTGATCTGCCCGGAAGGGTCATGATGTCGTCGGGTCTCATCGTGATGAGTCAGAGCGTGAAACTCGGCTCGTTGGACGGTATGGGTCGTATGTGCGAGCAACAGGAGATGATGAAATAACCAGAAATACGAATAAAAATGACGGCGAACGGCTCACCGTTAGCGTCGATGAGCTCGCACAAGCTCTCAAGCTGGTATCCAATTGTATTGTGAATGCATGTTCGTGTCTGTGTCAACAACGGATGAAGCATGTCATCCGTTCTACCTAGATGGGCATCTGAATGTGAAGTGTATCGTTATGGTGCAGCACAAACGCAGTTCATGTCGTGTACATGGTGGCAGGAGGTGCAACCGGACCAACTAATTGATCGATTCTTGATGATGATGATGATGCACTGTAGGAACCAGAGACATCGTGAGAGACTGGAGAACCAACAAGAACTACTACGTATCGTATTCGAGCCAAGTAGCAGCGTGCAATTCCTGCTATTGTCCGCCTACCATGAACCTGTGCAGGAAGTAAGCGGCTACAGGTATCCCATCACCGCCAGCGCAGCGCCTACGGCCGTCCCTTGCACGATCCTCAGCACGCGATCCACTTCTACTGGCGTTGTTGTCGAGAGCCACGACCCCCTCCACCGCCACCGCCACCACCGCGGCGAGGACGGAATCCGCCGCGACCACTCTGATTGTCACCACGACGACCACCGCCAGCATTAAACCCAATACGGCCACCGCCACGACGGCCGTCAGCACCGCCACGGCGGTTGCCCCACTCTTCCTTGCCCGTACCCGAGCGCAGGTCCATCATGCGCTCGTTGTTCTCCACAATCTGCGACAGCTTATCCGAGTACTGCACTGCCAGCGTCTGCAACGTCGAGCGCTCGGTCTTGTACAAGACAATGGCCTGCGAGGCTTGGTCCCAGGCCCCCTGCAGTTCTTCGTTGATCATCATCTTGGACACGACGCTGTGCACGGTCTTGTCGTCAAGTTCAAACATCTCCATCAGTCGAGCAAGACTCACGGAATCGTACTCGTCACTGAACGCCAAGAGGTACGTCCGCAGGGCTTCAACCTGAATCTTGTGCTGAACCATCGACTTGACACGCTGGTTCACGTTGGCACCCGGAAACAAGTCCCACACAGGAAGACTCACGAGGAGCTCAGCGCTCTTCTGCCACGATCCCTGGGCCAGCAGTTTAGCAGCAGCAACCACATGGTCACGCGGATTCTCGGGCGGACCCTCGAAGATAAGGCGTTCGTGAAACTCAAGGAGCTTGCGGAAGGCCTTCGACACCATGCGCTTGCGGTCGGACAGACGCGCGTTCACCATATTCGGCACCTCCAGTAGCATCGCGCTTACCAGGTGGCACGTCTCAAGCAGGTCGAGGTTGATGTGCATGTGATACGGCACTTGGCGGCGACGCTCCAAACGCTCCTGCTCAATATCGCGCTCGCCATAGCGAAAGGACTGCAGACCTTGGGCGAGCAGCTCCTTCGTGCGCGAGCCCGTGCAGATCTCCGACAAACAAGCGTGAGCTTCCCAGATGAGACCGCAACGGAAGGCACACAGCCCGAGCTGCGCCATCATGCGGTTGAACAGGATCTGGGTAGGAATATCAGCGTCCGAGATGTTGTCCTGAATGTGCGACATCAGGAGCAGATCACGAGCCTCATGGAAGCGGTCGTGCAGCGCGTGATGGTAGACGCGGCACAGCATCGCACGAGTCTTGGCACGGATGTCTCCGTGCTGGAACACAAAGCGGCACACTTCACGCAGCAGCTTCTCGGCATCCACCGCGGTCACATTCACTGTAGGCTGACCCATTGCCGACGCAGGATGCACCTTCGACACGTCAAACTCCTTCGTCTTGCTGGCACTAGTGCTCGTGCACGCAGGGTGGAGGAACACGGGGTCGCCAAACTTGGCACGCTTCGCCTGCGCCTCGTACAAGGCCGCCGCGACCGAGTCGTGCTTGTAGTAGATGAGCTCAGCGCGCACAAGGGCCATGGTACCAGCGCGCACGAAGTCCTTCTTGCGCGCATAGAATGTCTGCACGCGCTCGGCCACCTCAATCAGCATGTTCTCGTCAAACAGACGAGCAACGTACTCGCTCGTGTGCGGATCGGTCTGCTGCAGGCTCTTCGTGTACTCTTCCGACAGACGGTCAACAAAAGCAGCAAGATCGCCCGACACTTTGATCGTGCCCTTCTTGCCAGCCTGTGGCAGCATATCCACAAAATTCATGTCCTCCTCGGCGTCCTCCGCCTCCGCGGCAGCAATCTGAGCAGCAGTGACCTTCTCGCGGCCAGCACGCACGATGTCAGCCTGATCTTCTGACGTCAACGGGGCAAGCGAAAAGTCCGCGTTCTTCTCGAGGAGAGAGAGGATAGTGCAGATGTTGGCCTGCACCTGCTTCCAATGACGCGCTGACATGACGCGGTCGATCTTGGACGACGTGTCAAACACAGACGTACCCACCAGGTACATGGTGGCCACGATCTGGCGGGCAGGGCCAAGACGTCCAGCGTAGTTGGCCAGCTTCCGCATCTGGTTGAGCTGCTCCGAAAGGTCAATACCCCGCTTGCCCCGCATCGCAACCACCTCTTTCACACGACGGTCAAACTGGCTCGGAGTGAGCTTGAGCTCCTCTTCCACAACACTCTTTTGCACACCGTCCTCCGATTCTCGACGCGTCTCGCGCTGCTTGACGATCTTAGGTCCCTTCACCTTCTTCGCCTTGGTCACCACCGGCGTCTGCTTCAGCCATCGCGCGCGGCCTTTGGGCATGTTGTCGTCATCTTCCGAAGACGACGACGAAGCCGACGATTTGCTTGGCCACGAACCGTCCGAGCTGTCTGAATCGTCGTCGGCGTCCGACTTGTCGTCATCGTCGCTGCTGTCGTCGTCCGATCCAGCCCCATTGCTACTGTCGTCCGAGTCCGAAGACGAGGCCACTGACGACGACTTGGAATCCGATTTCTCACTGGACTCACTCTCGGACTCACTCTCGGACTCGCTCTCGGACTCGGAGTCACTCGACTCCACTGGATGCGCCCGAAAGTCGTCAACAGGCTTGCGAATCGGCTCGAGCGCCTTCTTGAGCTTGCCCTTCATGCGGATCAGCGCCTTGCTGTTCTCCTTGTTCATTTTCTTTTGCTCGGCCTTGTTCTTGACCTTCTCGGCCAGAAAGTCCTCGAGCGCGACCATCGTCGAGAGGTAAAACGTCGGCAGCACCGTCATGGTCTTTTTCGCGCGCTCCAGTTGCTTTGTCAAGTCGTCAAACGCGCTCTGGATCTGCGTCCAGTCGTTGATCTTCATGTGGTTCGTGATGCTACTGCAGCTGCGCTCGATGCTCTCGAGCGACTTGTCCTTGGCGCTCTTGACCACGCGCACTTCTTCGTCCGAGTCCGAGTCCGACTGCACGGCCCAGCGCGAAGCAGCACGCGCCGCCTGCTGCTGCGTCGTCTCGACATCCGACACGTCCGAGACGTCACTCTCCTCTTCGGACGACGAACTGCCTGCCCAGAATCGACTCGCCATAGCTACGGATGCCGCGGGTCGAAAGACTGCTGCGTGATGGTATCAATCCACAAAGAGAGAGAGAGAGCGCGAGGGAGCGAACGAGGGGGTCAGGAGAGGTCCTTTGCTATCCACAGCACAGAGCTCGACGGTCCCTCGTGACGGAATATCCTGTGGCTGGTTTTGACTGGCTGGTAGACAACCAGCAGCAGACATAAAACCTCAAAACCTTACGACGAGATCGATGAAGCCATGTGCAAGTCTCCAGCGCGTCGCGCGTGTGGCTTTTGTAGCCATTTTGCGTCCAGTCATACCACATCAGGCGCCATCGCCACTTGACCTGTAGACGACAGCGAGCTACGAACGGCAGCTGCAACGTCACGAGTGGCTCAATGATTGTCCCAACGGCCATTGTAGTGTTTACCGGGACAACTGGTACTTGTGTAGGTACATTGTCCATAGGGTCAGGAGCACGCAGAGCACGAGAGACAGCGCAGTGAGTGCGGTCAAGTCGCCATGGAACATTGAGGTCGAGACGTACACGGCGGGGTACTCTGCGAGACTCACGATGGATCCAATGGAGAAGATAATGCCCATGAGCGAGCCCATAGTCGTGCGGCCAAAGGTTTTGGCAGTAAATGCCGAGATCGTCGCGTACAGGAACGCCCGAAACGCCGTGAAGACGACGAACGTCAGGCACTGCATCAGCAGACTTGGCACTAGTTCGAGCACGTTGTAGAGCACGCCCAGAAGATTTGTCAACAGCAGTGCTTGGGGCAAGCCACGGCTTTCGACGACGTAGTCGATCGACGGCACGAAGACGAACCCCATGGGCAGCACGAAGCTAAACACCTTTGTGTAGACATAGCCATGAGCGCGGTCACCCAAGTTCTCCAGCAGCTTGTTGGTCGTGCCAATGTAAATGGTCGCACGCAGCACCTGCAGAGCTGCAAACGCCACGATGAACGCAAACTCGACCGACTGCAACTGCTCGGTGAGAGCAGTGTCCACGAGACTGAACACTGCGTCGTCGCAGTTGCCTCGCGTCGTTGTAGCTGCCGGTATCCCGCTTCGCTCTGCCTCCACACTATCGTACGAGTCAGTACCGACTGTCCCGCTCGCCAAAAGTAGTTGCTGCTGCTCATGCGGTGAAGTTGTCGACACATTTTCTTCGTTTGCATCGATACGACGGCCGCGTCTTGGCGGCAAACTATTCGCGTTAAGTCTCCACAGAATAATGAGCCCCAAGTAGATAACGGCGGCCAGCACTGCAAACGCCAGGAACAGCGTCTTCCTCGACCACCCATATTGTTCGTGGGCAGCATACAAGACGAGGAATATGGCGCTGCTGCCATCGAAGAGACAGCTAATTGCTGCAAGGATGGCCGTCTGATGGCGCATGATGAGAAAGCTTGCTGGAAACGACGCCATCATGGTGATGCAGCCTCCAAACGCGACCAAGGCGTACGCGGGCACGAACATATCGAACGTCTTGGAGTCCGATAGTGCCAAGAAAGACAAGCCCGAGACTTCGACGAAAGCAGCGACAGCGGTAGACACGCACGGCCCGACGCGGTCGAGCACCAGACCAACGGGTAGTGCACCAGCATTCATTGCGATTGAAGCCACTGCAAACATGAGGTTCAGGCGGTTCTCTTGGGCCGAGCACATGGTCTCGCTCGCGACCGGACACAATTCCGCGTACTGGTCTTCCTCTTCCAGCAACAGCAGCAACGGCGCCCAGCCAAAGACGAGACCGGTGAGCAGGAGATCCGAGACACAGACGGCGAGTACGAGTGCAATGCGACGAGGTGCGATTGGACGTACTGGATCAGACTGAAGAGAAGATACGGACACAGCCATGTGTAGCTTCTTGCGCGTCAATATGGTTTAGACAAGTCGAGATTCGAGTAATGCGCTTTACTTATTGACGCTGGACAAGGAGGTGTTTCTGCCTTCAAACGTAGCCACTAGATGGACTTGACACGAACTAGCAGGAAAGTAGCCGTAAATACTGGAAACTACAACTGGGAGGGAGTGTATAATTACTTTTTATCCAAAGTGAATGGTCCGTTGCAAATGGCGCAGGAAGAGCGGGGACGCAGCCATTTGCGAGTGTCATGTCACTTGCGTAATGCCAATTTGGATGAATTGCCATTCGAGCGTTGCTGCGATGCTACAGCAGCAGCGGCGTGATGCAACTGACATATAATCGAAACGGAACGACCACTGCACCTACGTCGGTGAAGTTATGTTGACGCGCCACGGACGTCCTTGCAAGCAGGTTGTCGGAGCATGTCTATAGCAAAGCATTCTGTAAATAAAGGACATTACTCGACCGATGTTTACCTGCCCAAACCAGTTGCTGGACCGATTAATAGCGTGGACTTTGACAAGCTTCAACGTGGAGGGACACATGCTACCAGCGAGAAAGATGCTAGCGCTTGCAACGCGCTGATTCCGTCGGTACTTCATCGTAAGTCTGTCGGGTTGTCGTTGCGCCTGATCGGTATAAACGATCCTGGTCGACAGGCTGAAACCTGGCCAGTTATTCGATTACTGGCATCGAAGTACGCCTGACAGATTTCTTTGACAGGGTTTAAAAAACCGCTGTAGAGCAACGCTTCTGTGTTGTCACCGACGCTCAACAGGTTTGTGCCTGTGGCGCGTTTACGAAACAGTCGTATTGACTGTCCGCGAAGCTATAAACCGGAGAGAACTGATGTGGTGGAACCGAGTCAAAAGGGTCTCTTCGTGGTCGAACAGCTCCACTGTAGCGGAGCTAGTGCATCTTCTATCCAGACGAAGGCTTTCTGATCAACGAGCAAGCTAGCTCTTTACAAGAACTTAACTCTACGAGTCAACGAAGTTATAGATCCAGGTCCTTGCTCAAGGGACCTTAGCGATTCAGCGAATTGACTGCACAATGAGCTCAGGAGTCTAATGTCTTTACAAGGATATACTGTGCTTAAGACCCGAGACGCCTTAGAAAGGCACGTGTCTCTAATAGATCAAAAGGGGAACTAAACTTTATATTGTTTTATGTAAAAAGACACTTTGGCCTAAACGTACCTAATATAGACAGCAACGCTCTAACTAGTACCTCTCACAAGATCATGTATTTGGTGGCTGACACACATCAGCCCCTAACAACTGATACGGTGTTTTTAAGGAGAGGCTAAATACGGGAGAGGCTGAATACACAGGGAATCTTTGCTAAATACACCGGCGCTTTTATTTAATCTATATGTTTATATGGCAACAATGGTGACGAAGCCACGTCACGTCAATTCGAAGATTACAGGATAAGCTAATCAGAAATGCACCTGTAATATAGTCAAGCCACGCTAATTTAATAAAAAAAATAAGGTTTTTAATGCAGCACACACGGCTTAACACTGCAACCGAATACAAAATATTCTTGATCTTCATGTGCTGCAGCAGAGCTTCCGTGTGTGATTTTCCACCAAGTGCCTTTCTGTTTGCCTTCTGAACGACATTGTGGATATCCCTTGCATCTTTATGAGGACACCGACCTCCTAAAAATGATTTACAATAACTTATATAAATCACATACAGACAACATACCAAATAATGACCTGCTGTATATACATCTATAAAGTCGTATTTGAATTTATGCGTATAAAGTCGTACATACATATATATACAGATATATATGTGTTTGTATACGACTTTAACACGCATGTATACCCGAGGAGCAGCTCCATCTTGATGCATACGACGACCTTTAACTTTCTATCGTCAATTTCTCTCGTCGCACGTCGCGCCGCCGGTAGCGCTGAGAGCATGGTCGTGCTGATACAACGGGAGTGGCCGGTGTGGCATTTGATCACACAAAGCGTCGACCAGGCACTTTCTTCTGAGGAGTACTTGTCATAAACGGTCACGAGCTCGTATGAACAGCAGACCGTTTTTGTTCCGCTATCTCGCATTGACGTGGGCCGACTGTGGGATCTCCTATAATGTTTTCCCTGCGAACATGTGAGAAAACTGCGCTTGGGACCAATTACACGACTGAGGGATACACTGATAGCAAAACCTTGGCGTACGTCTACTGCTTCAAAGCTTTTTCATCCGTCTTTTGACTGTCAAAAAGCCCAACCGGTGGAGATCCTTCACAGATCCATGAGTGATAAGTGGCGGCAGGATTATAGCCAGCATCAAGTTGGAACTTAACCTGATTGATAGCGACGACAGAATAAGTATCAACACAAACGACCATAGCAGTGGCAGCAGAATTAGTGGAGATGGATTAAGTGCTTATCAACATGCAGGTAGAGGCAGACGAAACTATATAACCTTTTAAGGGTTGCATGACATCTGATATTTCCTATGGGTGGATAGCAACGCCGGTTCCTCAGACGAGTCAGGTGGTTGTTCGGGGCTTGTTACCTGAGGTGACGGCTCTCGTGGTTGCCTCACTATTTCGCCGAGTCATAACAATAGGCGCGCTCCTTGTATTTTGTTGTCAGTTTGTCGATACTGTCGCTTGGCGACCGCTCTAAGCTGCCTCACGCCGGAATCGCAGAAGTCCGAGACGCTGCATTCGAGAGAAACGAACTGTTGAAGAAACGTTGCTCGGTTTCGTTGAGCCCAGAGGCTTGTTGTAACGGGGCACTGTTGACTACGTACTGGTTGACCAGTACGGAGTATACTTCCACTGACGACAGTGGTCGACAGTGCCCTGCTAGGTGTTGAAGGAGAACAGAGGAAGGAAAGGAGACAAAGTAGTCAGACTAGTCTCTTGGTAAAAGTAAAACTGTATTAATATAATTAAGTCCTATAACTCCTTGAATCTCTGTTGTCCTGACTTAATTATACTACTATAACCAAATGTATGATGACGTCTACTCACCACCCATTGCGCGCGTCTAGCAGCGATTCGTGGGTTAATGTCATCACGATATCAACCAATGAGTAGACCCTTCGGTCACTCCAACAATATCACCATGTCTGTGATATTGTTAAAAGAATATTCGACGTGATACTATTTATTGTCAAATTGTCATAATGACAATCTCATGTAACGGGCTACCCCGTTACATGGTGCGCTTTTTTGATGTGAATGTGACAATCAAAAGCATCTGAATGGTCTTCATTTCTCCGTTATGTGAGGCTGCTGCAGAAAGAAGTATAATGCCCTTAGTAATGAAGGGTAATCTCCGCCCGTCCGTGCTCGAAGGCCTCGGCAAAAAAGCTCGCGATTTTCGTCCACCCTACATCGTGGGTATGATCAGCAAACGTTGCCCGGTACCCGGTGACGGCTTTTAGCGCCTCTATTTGCCGGATTAGTCGAGAGGTCACTTCACTGTCCACAGCGTCTTCATGACCAATAAGCACACGGATCTCCTATTCATTAATACTCGCGCAGATCATGTGAAGCGCAAAACGAGTTTTATTCCCACATCACATAGTATCAATTATAAATTGTTTCCATAAGCGAAAGTTTGTAGCCGTTTCCAGTCATCCCGTTTATCGATTAGAGCAGGTAAGTTGTGAAGGGCCGGACGCGAAAACTTGCCCGTCCACCCAGCCAGACACTTCTACGTTGTTTTATTCGATGTCCTATTGCGATAGGCCATCAATTGCGCGTGTAAGCAGCCCATCCTCCAGGACGCTGTCTAAGATTCTAACAGTTGCGCGCTTTAGGGTCTGAACAGATCTTCTGGGTACGGGAAGCACCTCAGCATGGAAAGCAGCTTAGCCGATTCGTGCATTGTTGTCTGCATCCAGACATAGATGCTGCTGTGCACAAAGGGAAAAGCCGCTGTCGCCGAATCTGGCCAAAAATCGCCGTGGTGCTGCCAGAGATGCGGCCAAGAGTCCTTCGCGCTGATAACGTCGGTGTTTGAGGTAGGCAAGGCGGTATCTTGCATTATTGCCTCGCCGTCATGGTCATGTTGATCAAGCTGAGTGCACATGATTCGCCTGCTAGGTGTTGAAGGAGAACAGAGGAAGGAAAGGAGACAGAGTAGTCAGACTAGTCTCTTGGCAAAAGTAAAACTGTATTAATATAATTAAGTCCTATAACTCCTTGAAACTCTGTTGTCCTGACTTAATTGTACTACTATAACCAAATGTATAATGACGTCTACTCACCACCTATTGTGCGCGTCTAGCAGCGATTCGTGGGTTAATGTCATCACGATATCAACCAATGAGTAGACCCTTCGGTCATCCCAACACTATCACCATGTTTGTGATTTTGTTAAAAGAATATTCGACGTGATACTCTTTATTGTCGAATTGTTTTAATGACAATCTCATTTAACGGGCTACCTCGTTACATCACCCCTCCCTTATCTGATAGTAACCGTGAGACTATCGAAAATAAGGCGGCCACCCGTTGGCCACCATTGGGACAGGGGGCACTTGTTGGGTCCGTTCCATTCACTTTCCGCTTGACATCGCATTGTTAACATGTCTATGCGGGGTGACTCAAGACACGCACAGCCTGCTGCTGTGCCAGCCTCTGCGGCAGACGCTTCGTCGTCTGCTGCTTGTTCTCCGTATGCAGCAGAAGGTGCTGCAGACGCACGCGGTATCGCACCACGTGCACATGATGACCTTGGCAATGAGGTCATCTACTCTGGCGAGTCAGACGTGCCTGACTCGCGCAACGTTCCAAAGGCATCCCGATCACCGGCGGTGCCTCATCGTTCGTCAAGATTACTGTCGAACGAGCGGAATCGTGAAATGCATCACAGTCTCTTCGGCAGTGATGATGAACTCGATGGTGAGGAATGCTATGCCTCACCAGTTTCAACTCGTGCTTCCCCGCAAGATCGTGATGACGATGGCTCTTGCCATCGTCATTCTGTAAGCCGTGGTACCGAAACAGA